GCCCCGGGCCCAGTCCACGATTGCTGAGGGTCTGGCCCCGTGCCAGCGTGGCGGAGGCAGGAGCGCTTCTGTGCCCGTGTGCTGCTGGGGTCCCGCTCCCTGCCCCCAGGCCCACCGGGCTGTCCTGGGGCCGGCCCGACAGTCTCAGTCCGTCTTCCCCAAAGGTGCCCCCTGTCCACACCAGGGTGCTCGTTTATGCCCTCAGTCTCCTCAGCCTGGAGAGATGCTGAGACCCCAGGGGGCCCGTCTCTGGGTGTCTGTCCGTCCAGCACGGCCTTCCGAGCACCAGGAGCGAGTGCTGGGCCCTCCCCTGTGCCTGCCCCGGTCGCTCCTGCGTGCGCTGGGCTGGAGACGGGGACGTGCAGGGCCACTGTCCTGAGGGGACGGCCAGGCAGGACGGGCTGGGGACGAGGTGCGGAGTGTGGCAGGGCCGGGACAGCAGGAGCCGGCTCGGGAAGGGGGCCAAAGGCTGGCACGGGGCGTGTGCGGGTGCCCAGCCGAGCCCCGACCGTGCGTCTGTCTCCGCAGGCACGCCAGCCCCTCGGGCCTGCTGCTGGCCGCCGTGGTGGGCCTCATCTACATGGTCGCCATCCTGTATGAGGAGTGAGTGGGGCGGCTGCGGGCCGGGGCAGGCTCGGGCTGGGCGGCTTCGTGCGGGTCCATGGGAGGGGGCAGCACGGGAGGGCGGCGGGCAGGCAGGTGGCCCCACCTCCTGGTCTCCAGAGGCCCCACATCAGGGCCCGAGCTCGGGGGTCTGGGGCCCCAGCCCCTCTGGACACCATCCCCCGAGCCTGCCCAGGCTGACTGAGGCTTCTCCCCAGGCCCTTCACCACGGAGATCTACCAGCGGAAAGCCTCCGAGTCCCACAGGAGAAGCTGACAGCCGCGGCCTTGCTGGCCCAAGGGCCAGGACCTGTGGGGACAAGGACGTCTGGTCACAGCTCGGGGCCCGTGCCCAGCCTGGGCCGCTCCAGTGCCTTGGAAGTGCTGCCTTGGGGCCCTGGACACGCTGCGTGTGGCTACTGAGCCCCCGCCCCGCCACGTCCCCACTCCCCAATAAAGGCCCCTGCCCCAGCCGCCCCTCTGGTCTCTGTTGGCGAGGAGGAGAGGGGCAGGCTCCGGCTCCGGCTCTGGGAGGGCCGGCAGGAGGTGCCCGGAGGGCTGCAGGCCAGCCTGGCCCAGCCCCTCCCACGGAAACCTCCCAGTGTGGTGGTATGTTGGGGGGTGCAGGCCTTGCAGAGAAGGGGCTTCCTGCAGCGGCTGTCTGGCCATGGCCTCGTCTTCATCCCAGAAATCCCAAGACCACACCCTGATGGCCGTTCCCGAGGGCCCAGCCGTGCCAGCGAGCATGAGGGCAGCTCACGCAGTGCCGTGGCCGTGGCCTGGTCGGCTAGAGTGCTGGTGAGCGGCCTGACACTGCCACGAGGCACGGGGAGCTCCCTCTCTTTGCCTCCCCCACCCCCCAGTGCCGCCACTTCCTGTCCTGGCCAACTCTGGTGCTGGCGATCAGGCCTCTCCACCGCTCTGGGCTTTGGGGCACCTGTCCTGGGGTGCCAGAGACCCTCAGCCTTCAGCCTTGGCCACCATTGTCCCTCAGGGTCTCTGTTGGCCTTGAAGGCCCATCAGGGGTCTCCTGGAAGGGGTTCCCCAGAGGCCCTGTGGGGACGAGGGCTCCAGCGAGGGCCCTCGCCTGGTCCAGCCCCTTCCTCCCAAAGGCCTGGGATTCCCTCAAACTGAGGCTGCTGGTCTCCTCTGACATCCCATTGTGTTGTCCAGCACAAGGCCGAGGGCCTGACTGGACATTTACAGGGTGCCCGGGGCCCAGGGTCTCACTGCATGTGGCCACACCGCGCTCCTGCCTTCTTCCCAAGACCTCCAAGGAAGCCTGGGCAGCCCCCGCCTTCCGGGGCCGAACCCAGCACAGGAACCCCAGCAGGCTGCCAGGGCCGGCACCGGCCCGCTCCCCTCCCTCAGCCCCTGCCCTCTGGCCTGGGAGGTTCCCCAGCATCCCACTGTCCGGGAGGGGTGAGGGGACTGGCGCTGCCAAGACCCCTGGCCAGGCGCTGTGGCTGCCCCTCACCTGCACCTGCGTCCTCACTGCCCAGCCCCACGGTGCTGGGTCCACGCCAGGGCAGTGCTGGCCCCGCCTTGCCAGGTCGGTTCCCCCCCCGCCCTCTCTGGAGATGATACACCTACTGTGGGGGCCACCCCGCAGGGCCTCCAGTCCCCGGTGGCCCCTTGCCCCCCACCCCTGCCCGATAGCCCAGCGTCCACATTGGGGGCTGGATCTTAGGCCCCTCACTCAGCACCAAGCAGTGTGTGCAGCACCGGGAAGGGAGCGGGGTTTCCTCACCCTCCCACTCCTGCTAGCTCCCCACACCAAGTGCAAATGGGGTCATCAGCACCCCGTGCCCTCGCCCCCGTCCCTGGGCTGAAGACTTCATTGCCCTCCCGCCATCTGGGCTGCAGAGGGGTCCTCAGGTCACAGCCCCTCTCTAATCCCTGTACCACCCACGCTGCCCAGGGGGCCACAGCACCCCTCAGAGGCTCCTAGGTGAGGTGAGGACACCCTGGGGGCTGAGGACACCCTGGGGCGGTTACCAGGCAGCACTCATAGCTGAAGCAGCAGTCTGTGTCCTCGGCCTGGCTGAAGGGAGCTCGGGAGGGGTGAGACGGACCAAGGCCTCCCGCGAGGAGCACCGTGTGCCAAGGCCTCGGGGCTTAGGTTCCGGAGCACAGGGATGGGGCCTGGCAGGGCGGCGGAAGCAGGGACTCCAGGGAGGAGGTTCCCAGGAGGGGCGTCTTACAGGGCTGGTCCCAGCCGGCCGCAATGGTGTCCGTGTACGGAGGCGGGATTGGGGAAGTAGTGGACAGGTGACAGATGTTTCCGGAGAGCTTCCGAGGCTGGGAGTGAGTGAGGGACAGGCCCCGGGTGCCCCGCGGAGGATGGCTTAGGAGAGCCAGGGCACATGCAGGGGCCGCCCTGGCACCCGGAGAGGGCTGGGCTGGGCCAGAGCCTGCACCAGGGCACGGCCATCTCGCTTCCCAGCCGGGGGCGCAGCCCTGAGAGGTGTCGCTCGCAGCTTCATTTCAGCGGTAACTTCCTGCCCTTCCTGAGAGGAGCCAGTGTCACGTGCACAGGCCGCCCCTCGGAGCTCAGCCCCAGGACCTGGCACTAGCGCCTCGACCATGTACACACCGCCATCGCTCTGCAGAGGACCCGGGCCTCCGGCCACACAGCACCGGCGGGGCCTGCCGTCTGCCGCTGCTCTGAGATGGGCGGCCGTAGGCTTACCCCTTCGGGATTTTCTTTTCGATCTTGTTTTAGAGAAACTTGCCAGGGAAAGATAGAGGGGAAACGAGAAATCACCCCTGGGGGGATGGCCACGCCACAAGCCCTTCTCCATTTTCCTCTTGGGATCTTGTACACCTGCCTGGTGTGAATTTCTTTCTTTTTAGAAGTTTTTGCCATAGGGCACATGCGCTTGCTGGAGAGAGAAAAAGAGGCCCAAAGGAAAGTGAGAAATCACCCCCATGGGGGTGGCCACACCACAGTCCGTCCTTCTCCATCCTCTTCTGGAACTTTGAGCATTCGTGCACATGCACCCCGTGTGATTTTTGAGCCACCGGGTGTGGGACTCGAACCACAGTTGGCCATGTGAGAGTCCAGCACCCCAACCACCATGCCACCTGCTAGCCCAGCCTGGTGTGATTTTCAAGCCTCCGGGTGTGGGACTGGGTCCATGCAGTCACCTGGCTGGCCCTCTTCTGGACACATTGCACAGATGGAGCGGTGGATTCTGTCCTGTTAAGGCCGGGTCACCCATGCTGTGCCCTGTGTCAGGACCCTCTCCTTTTCAGGGTGGCAGTGTCCACCTTGTGGACACGCTGCCTTTGGTACATTTAGTCCCTGCTAACATGAGGACCGCACTGGGGACATTCAGGGACAGTCTCATGTGCGCGTATGCATGCATTTCCTTCGGGGATGTGCTGAGAGTGGAATTGCTGACTCACAAGGTAACACACGTTTCAACTTCGAGAAGCTTCTAGACTTTGCCCAGCATCTGCCTTTTTTTTTTTTTTTTTTAAGAGATTTTTTTTGCTATAGGGGTGTGTGCATTCACTAGAGAGATGAAAAGACGGAAAGCGAGAAATCCCCCCCGGGGATGGCTATGCCACTATACCTTCTCCATCCTCCTCTCGGGATTTTGGGCACACACACATGTGCCCAGCATGAGTTTTAAGTCATAAGGTCCGGGGCTCGAACTGCAGTCAACTAGGTAGGAGTCCAGCGATGTAACATTAACGCTATCCGCTAGTCCCGTGTCTGCACTATTTTTAAAAACACTTTATTTCTCTTGGAAGAGAGAGAGAGAGGGAAGCACAGCCCGCCAGCCCTTGCAGCCAGCCAGACACAAGTGCGTACACCCAGCACGTACAGGCTGACCAGGGACACGACCCACGGCCTTCCACATGGATCCAGCTTCACTTGAGCAGTGCCTTTCTGCTGCCCCTAGTGCGCCCTCCTCTGCACCCTCCCCCAACCAGGCTCAGGCATTGCTAGTCAAAACTGGAGAACCAGATGACGCAGTGGTTGGGTCACTGGACTCCGTGTGGCCGACTGCGGTTTGAGTCCTGGACCTGGTGGCTTCACACCGGGTGCTTGTGTGTGCGTGCCCAAGATCCCGAGAGGAGAATGGAGGAGAAGGAGGATTGCGGTGTGGCCATCCCCCAGGGGGTCATTTCTCGCTTTCTGTCTCTGTCTCCAGCGAGCGCACGCGCCCTATAGCAAAATCTCTCCAAAAGAAAAAACTGGAGAAGCCATGGCCCTCCCCCGCAGAGGGCTAGAAGGGGCTAGAAGTTAGGCACCGGGCCAGACAGTGGGGAAGAGCACACGGGCTTCCGCAGCACCCTCCGTCACCCCGCAGGTGACTCCGTCCCCGAGGCCAGCTCACCAGAGCAGGAGTGACACCGTCCAGCTTCCTGCAAACCAGGCCCTGACTCTGGGCCTGCACCCACGGGCCAGGTGCCATGGCTGACACCCGCCAGACCTGCTGCTTTGGGGCACCCAGTGCTGTTCTCTGCAAGGCCTCTGTTCGGTAGCCCTGTCCTCTTCTGGAGTGACAGGGGGTGGGACTGCCTAGCCCTCGGGCGCTCGGGGGCCTCCCATGCAAAGGCTGGTAGGAATAGGCTCAGGCCTGCCCAGGCAGGCGTGGCCCTGACCCACGGGTACTCATGCACTGGTCCTTGAGGTGTCCCTGCCACAGCCAAAGCCCGATGAGGTCTCTCTCCTCAGGCCCAGCTCTGCCGCGAGCCCAGGCTGTAGGCCAGGGCTGCCCGGGGCCCCCGGCCACCTGACACGGGTGAGCCATGTCCCTCCAGAGCGCCCACGCCTGGGGCGGGAGGGCTGCGGTGCCACCAGTAATGCCCACCCACAGGCTCGCGGCCTCCGGTGCCTCTACCCCCGCACGTCCCGGAAAACGGACTGATTGCTGCGTGGCAAGATGTCGCTGTCATGATCAGGACATGGCTAGCTGGACAGGGGAGATGGGAGTGCTGGGAAGTTGGGGTGCATGCCTCCCCAGTGTGGTCAGAATGCCATGAAGGGGTGGGGAGAGCGAGTTACCCCCACTGTCTTAGTGACCCCGCCCTCCACAGTCCCCCCCAGCTGGCCAGCCTAGGGCAGAGCCTGGGATACAGGGGTGCTCGAGGTACCGGGGTCTGGGCCCAGTGTGGGCGCTGTGGGGTGCAGCCTCCCCAGACGGCCTGCTGCATGTGCTCTGCTCACGCTAGTCTTTCTGAAGTGGTTTGCACTTCTTTGAAATATGAGCATCATCACCTTGGTAATAGAGAGACATCCTTCAACAAAAGGGAGGGGAGGGCCCAGCAGCCGTGTGGCGGGTGAGGTGCTGGTTCCAGTCCCGGGCCTGGCAGCTTGCCTTCTCACCCCTCCCCACTCTGTCTCTCTCTGGTGGGTGCACGTACCCTGTTGCAGAACAGTGATAAATCTTTAAAAAAACATTGTGGGGTGGGGGAGGGAGGGGAGAAAGGCAGCCCAACCTCGCAGGGTGAGGTCCAGCAGTCCCGCACCCATAGGCTCATGAAGTGACGTGTGAGATCCCTAACCATGAGTGAGGCCTGGGGGTGGGGGTGGGGTGGGGGCGGAGGGAAGCACCCAGGGCCTGACCCAGGAGCAGGTGCCTGGGTAGGGGCTGCGGGGTGGGGAGCACGGGACAGGAATCACTGGGGGCATGAGGGGCGTGGGTGGTGAAGGCCAGATTTCCAGCCTGCAGGAACCACTTCCCTCTGCCTTGGTCCCTTCATCTGCAAAGTGGAGAGAGTATACCACAGGAGGGCTTCAAGTTCGTGGAGCCCAAGTTATGAAGAAACAATGCATGGATTTATTCTTTTCCTTTTTTGCACCAAAATAAACATACAATTTATTTCATTTTCTCAAAAATTTTCCAAGTCCCTTGGTTAGTTCCAACCCTTCGGGCTCCATGAGGATGGGCAGCACGGCTTAGACTCGAGCCTGCCAGCAGCAGACTGCTCCCAGGAGAGCACTGGGCTGGCAGGACGGCACTGCCCCAGGCTGGGAGCCTGCAGCCACACCGGGTGGCAAGGAGGGAGCAGGGGACGCCTTCCAGAGCCCTGGGAGATCGAAACTCCACAGGCGCTCCGCAGATCGCTGGAGGCGGCCCGGCGAGCCGCAGCGGTGTGCGCGGGCAGTGTCCCTGTGGTGTCCCTAACACCAGCGCGGCCTGCCCGCAGCCAGGACCAGTGGCTTCTCCTCAGCTCCAGGTCTTAAGGAGCCGTTTCCCGCCGGCAGCACTAGCCCACTTAGGTCACTGATCTGCTACGCCCGGCTGCTCCTGCGACCCCGCAGCAGCCACAGGAGTCACTACTGTTCCCTTATCCCCGAGGGCTGGCGCTTTCTCATCCAGGGCACAGTCACCACCTTCCAGAAGAGGAAACCAAAGCCAGAGAAGGCCACAGGCTGCGCCCCAGCTCCCCCAACTGCGCAATGGGACTGCTGGCCCGCGGGGCTGGGAAGGTCAAAAACACTGCGGGGGCGAGGCGGGACGCTAGCCCGCCTAACCCAGAAGGGGGTGCCTGCGGGCTCCAGGTCGGGCACAGGAGGGACGGGGCTGCCCAGGCTGAAGATGCTCCGGGCCACAGGGCATTTCTGGCTGGAGAAAGGGGCAGGCTGAGGCCGGCAGGAGAGCGCGGGGGTGTGGGTCTGCTGCTGCTGGACACTGCTCCCGCACGCTCCCCTCGGGATCCACCTGCTGCCCTTGCCCACCGCAGCCTGCAAGCTGCGCCCGTTGCCTCCCCGCGCCGCCGCCGCCGCGCCCTCTGCTGCCCCCTGGCGGCCGCAGCGCACAGCGCCCACCTCGGTGCTGGAAGCTGGGAACACCGCGTCCACCCGGACGGGCAACCCCCCCCCCCCCCGGCCCCCCCCCCGCCGGGAACTAGCATCGGCCCGGGGACGCCAGGCGGGGCTGGCGCCGGGGGCTGTATTCTGAGAACTGACATGCGGTATGCACAAGCCAACGCTGCTGCTGTCGCTGGATTACTATTATTCTTTGGGCAATTGAGGCCCAAAAAGAGTGAGTGTGCATGGGGTGGGGTCACAGAGTCAAAGGCACAGCCGGGACGAGAACCCCGGCACCCCTGCGGCTTAGTCCGACCCGGGGGAAAAGCGCTGGGTCTGCACGCCCCTAACCCCACTTGGACCCTGGGCTCAGTTTCTCTCGGTGCCCAGAGGGCAGGAGCGGTGCCGCGGTTGGCGGAGGTCGCGGAGGGCAGGGTGGGGAGGGAGAGCGCGCCCAGAGCCCGCGGGGCGTGACGCACTGAGACGGGGCGGG